TTTGTAGAATATTGTAAAAATTATGGTCTTTTACCATCACATATATATATATATATATATATATATATATATATATATATATATATATATATATATATATATATATACTGTTGGTAATAGACCATAATTTTTAGACCAGAATATTGTAAAAATTATGGTCTTTTACCATCACATATATATTTATATATATATATATATATACTGTTGGTAATAGACCATAATTTTTACAATATTGTATAAATTTATATTTATATAATTATTCTTTATATATATACGTATATATATATATATATATATATATATATATATATATATATATATATATATATATATTAATTAAAGTGTAGAGTGTCTCACAGGTATCTCATTAATTGTTCTACATATTAAATTTGTTATCATAATTATTAATAAGATAATTAGCTAACTAACTAACTGATTAACCAATTAATTAACCAATTAATTAAGCAAATAAACAATTGATTATTGGGTGATTTAAACCTCTATTCAATATCAAACCATCCAATCAAGAAGCTAACTAATATTTTGCATAATAACGACATAATTATATATATATATACACACACACATATATATATATATATATATATATAATAACCTCATTAATGATGATATTGATAATTTCGTTTAATATTTGATAGCTTGTTAAATGATAAAATGCTTAATTTTTGAATCATTTTATTTCACTCACTGCGAACTCGCATAGACGTGAACATTGATGATATTATTCTTATCACTCTTCATTCTGGGTTTGCTCTATTCTTTGTTTGTTCATCATCATTTAGAATTTTTATCATTATTACTGTTATTGTTATTATTATCTTTTTCTCCATTTTGCCCGCCCAACATAATATGAAGTTTTTTTTTGGTGGATGATATAGTATTTTTATTACGTTATTGTATGTGTGCGTGCGTGTTTGTGTGTGTGTGCGTGCGTAGAAAATTGACTTAAATGCAATATTTTTTGGTTTAAAATTTTATTTTTTGGTAACTACACAGTAAGGATATTTATCCATATAAATTTATTTTTAATGAATGATATTCATGCATCATCACATCATTATTTTTATTATTATAATTATTATTATTACTTTTATTCTACTTGATTCAATCATTGCAAATTATCTTTCAGTATTAAATATTTATACGTTCAAAATATTTTCGTAATTATTTTTATTCATCAAAGTATATATATATATATATATATTCATATTACATACACTTTACATACAATATATATGCTCTCCCTCTCTCTCTCTCTTTAAAATTCTAGAGAGAGAAAAGTAGGGTGGACACATACTTATAAATATTGATATATTTACTTATATTTTCGCATACGAACTTTCTGCTGATGTGTTTTTAAAATTATTAAATACATGCGTACATATATATATATATATATATATATATATATATATATATATATATATATATATATATATATATGTATATATATATATACACACATAAGAAATATTTACAATTTATTTTATAGTTATTTTCTGATGAAAATTTCGTTTGAAATTGTATATATATTTTTTTAGTACGTAAACACGTATATTGATACACACACATATATATATATATATAATTATTTTCGTTGAATTTATTTGATCAAATTCCTTTACCGAATACAGAGAGTAAGTTGAACACTCAATCAATCATCCAATTATTCAATTAATCAATCAATCATTCATTGATGCGACGTCATCCAATCAGTCATCTAGCATCAGCACTCCTCTGACGATTGCGTTTTTCGTCAAAGATATCATCATTACATCACTTCTATCGTTATAAGTGATAACGAAAGAGTGTCCTGATGAAGACGATGAGAAATGTATTCAATGTAATTGTCGCGTCATCGTCTTATCAGCATCGATCGTTGTCGTCATTGTCGTCGCCACCAATCATACAAGTGCTTGCAATTGATAGTATATTTTTTTAATTTTTATGAGGCGCCGAGCAAATTATTATCTTTGTTTCTTCATTTTTTTCCCCTGTTTTCGTTCATTTATTTTTCTTTCTTTGTTTCGTTCGTTGTTTTGTTTTCTTGAAAAATCGCTATTTTTGAGGAGTAACGTTTATGTTTTGTTGTGCGTGCGTGCGTGCGTTCGTGTGCATCTCGATGGCATATTGTTACCATATATATATTTATATATATATATATATATATATATACATGTTACACGATGATATGTTATTGAAAATTAACAAACTGAATAAAATTCGTTTGTGTTTTTATTCCTTTCTTCCCTCTTCTACAGCGTTAAACAAATGTATCATCCTTCTTAGGTAGGCCTACACATCTTAAAAGACAAAACGTAACTAGAATTAATAAGGCAAATATAAGGCGTAGAACATTTAGACAGAAAAATATTAGTATGAAATTATTTTCCATGAAATTACACAATCATTAATATCTGAAATAAGGTATCTAAAAACAATACAAGCGTTAAAAAACTAGTTAGCGATGAGATTTATTACATGAATTCGAAATTATTAATATCAGGGTTATCAGTTGTCAGTGGCTTGGTCGTTGTCTAGTGTGCTGCCCGTGCGTGTGGCCGGTCGGCAGTCATCCATGTAACCACTCCTTCCAATTCCTCGCTGCATGTTTAGTAGTTGGTGTGTGTTTGTTGGAGAGTAAAGAATTTACAGAGTATTGTGAAATAGAGAATGTGTTTTGTTTGTATGTGTATGTATGTATGTATGTGTGTGTGTGTTTGTGTGAGAGTTCATAATGAACGATTGCGATTGGATATATTACGAATAAGTATATTTTCACGTAATGACTACTAGTTTGGAGATGGCCCATTAAAATTGCAAATGCCGCGTAAATCATTTTGAATATTATTTCAAACTGACTTACATTTTCAAGCTGCAGTTTGAGATTGGATGTTTCCTGTTCCAGAGTTGAGACTTTGCCCTTCAACTCCTCGATCAACTTTACCAATCCATCTGTCAAGTTGGCATTTCAAAAATACTATTAACATTATTTTACAAGCAATTAAGCCAAATCTTTCGTTCGTGTATCTCAATCAATATTTTAATGAAACTTTAAAAATCTGAAAATCAAACTTTGTGAATGATCGAGAATAAAAAGGCAAGCATTTATTTATTCAAAGTATCTTCACCCCATTTATAAATGAAAAATATTTTGAAAATAAGATTTTTTTTGTATAAGGAGAAGAATTGGAATGACGGTACAGACTTCTATCTAAATGTAGGTACATGTTGTTCTTGGCATCGTTTGAATTCCGGGCCACAAGCGAAACTTTCATATCCGTCTGGTTTATTTTAATTTCAACAATTGAGTGAAAATGATTTTATATAATATTAATCGACTCAAAAATGAATTCAACGTACGTAACATTATTATAATTAATTAAAAACATTCCGTGCATTGATTTCATCGCTTGCTCTGGTTTTGTCACATGCACACGTGCACATCCAATCAATCAAGCAGTCACATATTCTCTCATATTCTCTATTAGAAAAAATGCTTACACATGCACGTACGTACATACACATACATTCATTCTTACATATGAAACTTATACATAGGTCACACATGCACGTATACATACACATTCACGGACAAGCATATTCACATATACACCCGCAAAATGCATAAATAAATGTACATACACATACGCGCACACGCCTACACACACATACACACTTAAAACAAATAAACAAACATGCACACACATACATACATACAAACACTTATAAATATGAACATTCACTGAGCGAGTTCAATTATTAATTCACCGAACATTAAATGACTGATTTGTTTCTTCTCAATAACACTCAATGACTCAACCTTCTCCCTGGTTTACATGGTGTTTAACACGTTTCATAATTAATATAATGAAGGAAATAGGCTTTTTATTTATTCATTTTTTCACGTTTTATGTGGTCTGCTTTTTCGATCATTTTTTCATTCGTTTTATCATCCATCCATTCATCTGTTAATTCGTTCATTTATTTTATCATTACCCTCATTCATTCATTCATTCAACCATTTTTTACTTATTCATTCATTCATTCATTCATTCATTCATTCATTCATTCATTCAACCTTGACAGAGTTGGACGTATAACTGACGACATTGGGTGTATTGCTGTTATCTCTCTTGAACGTCTTGTAAGACGGGGCACTGTTTGCTGTTGTCGTTTTGTTCAGATAGGAATGATCATGAGTGGGTGTTGCTTTGTGGCTGGCAGCACCATCTCCAGATTTTGCACCACCGCCAAACAAAGCCATCTTCTCCTCAAAATTCAATCGTCCCACTCTTGTTATTGTTGGAGATTTATCGTTGGAAGGTTGCTGCTGCTGTTGAGTCTCGCGACGAAGCCAAAAGTTATCTTTCAGTGGTGTTGTTGTCTGCCTGGTGGCGGCTGTCGGAGCGCCAGATGTCGCCGGAGTGTGCTGGATTTATTAATGATTGGTTATTCATATTCAGTGCTATTCATTCCCACGCAATCACATATTCAACATTAGCGGTGGGTTGGATGTTCGTATATCGCCGGTGTGTTTTAAAAAGTGTATAAAACGCATTAAGCCTGTGACATAACTCGGATACGTATGTACATTTACATAAATATCAAGCAGTAAGACAGTTTCATTTAATATTTTATATTTCGTTTCGTTTCATTGTCTATTTTTAACTTGGTCACACAATATGAGCAGTCAGCTAAGCAGACATGAGTGTCGGGCCTAACAGATTCAAAACAATTCATCGTCTGCAGTGCTATGCCCTCCCTTCATACTGGTTTTTAGATGTTTTTTATTTTTACTTTTATTTTTGAAAAACAAATTTTAAATACGAAAATTTTTTTAGATGTTTTGATGGCTTTGTTGATAACTCGCTAACGAAATTGTAGCTTTTTTTAATAAAAAAAATCACACACTTTTGTTTTTTATTATTATTTATGTTTTTATCACTAACATTCATTTAATTCATAAAAAACCATTTGGATTAACATCTGTCTAAAAATAATGATTCATTGCTTACCACTGAAGAAGTATGTTTTTTTTCTACCATATTACCGAGACCAGCTATACATGAAATAAATACTCATTTGTAATAGTAGTAGCAAATGAAGTAAATGGAGTAGCAGTAATAATACCAATAGATAGAGCAACAATGCTATTAAGAGTAGTAGCATTACTATTGCAGTATCTGAAGAAGAACTATATCAACAGGTGAATATGTCAATTCTGCTATAGTATTTCTTAGTAACAGTAAATTCCTTTTTATCATGATGTGTAGCTATGCGACGAACCATGCCTGACGGATGTTTCACATTTGTTAATTAGCCCGTTAATTAATAAGAATATTATTACAATTGCTTGTGCAGTTGAAATTATCATCAACTGAGCATCATAAGACGTGGCAGGAAAATTTCAACGATGATGAAGATGATGGTGACAATCATGATGAATATCCAGACGATAATGATGAAAATGATTAGGATGATGATAAAGATGATGATTGCGACGAAGATGATGGTAATGGTGATGATGATGATGGTGATGATGAAAATGAAGATGGAGGTGATGAGAACAATGATGAGAATGATGACACGAAAAGCATGAAAAGAGTCATCGTGTCAGAATTTGTAAAGAAAGTTACTTGGTTAGTGTGCAGCTGCTAATCACTGTGACAAAAAATAGAAAAACATCTCTGATGGTTGTAATGACGTGTTGTTTATGATGTTGTTGGTGGTGTTGTTTTGTTTTACGTGTGCAGTTCTTGCTATGCCGTTGTTGTTTGTTGTTGATTTTGTCGTTGGGTTTCATATGTTCGGTTTTGTTGTTGTTATTGTTAAATTTTATGTTTCTTCATTTTTATTTTCTGCCATGTTGTTGAGTTTTACTTCATGTTCGTTCGAAATAAGGCAAAGCTATTAAGTTTGACCTTATTCTTTTTTTTGAATTGTTTCAAACGTTTAACCAGCGTTTAAATTTATAGACGTCAGCTTAGAAACGACTTAAGAAGACTTGTTTAAACAATTTAAACAAAGTTTAACATAAGTATCACAAGAGCGGTGACACAAAACATCATAAACAAACAATACCATCATACTCAAATAGAAACGAGTAAACAAACTACAAGTTAAAAAAATTAGTTATTGTTATGTTCATTGCCATACCATTACAAACATCAAAAACATCAACAAATCATCCTCAAATTACTTTCATGATTAATTTTTTTACCTTGACAGCGGTAAGCCACTCATCAGCCTTCTTCTTCCTAACTTGTTGTGGAGGAGGGACCACGTCATCAGTGACGTCATGATTCGTTTTCGACGCGCTGGTGGCAGTCGTGACGTTTGCCGCCGAGCTGTTCAGAGACCCCTTTTCCAACATCTCCTTGATCTCATTGGCTCTGCCTGTGGTGTCACGTGTTTGTGGTCGTGGCTGATGTGTTAGGATGTGTGTGAATGATGTGTGAAAATGTGTGTGAATGATGTGTAAAGATGTGTGTGTGTGTGTGCCTTGTGTGTATGAGCGCTTTATTTTTATGTATGTCTGTGTATTAGTTATTTGTTCGTCAGAGTTTTTTTAACGTAGAATAAAAATTTTTATTTTTTAATTTTTAATTCTCTTCAAACAACGTTTACAAACGCGAAAATGCCGTTTAAATAAATTTTTAACACCGAAACATTTCACGACACTGTTTGTTTCATGGAATGAGGACGACGTCACACATAACCCAAGTCTGCATTTGAAACCGCACCCCACCCAACACCTTATCATTTGAGAATGTATGGGACGTGAGTGTAATGTTTAGTTTGCAAACCTAAATAAATAATGTTTGTTGTTTTTTAAAGAAATGTTATAAAGATACCTTTTTATTATAGCCATGTATTTTTATCTGTTATAATAAGAAAAAATGAAAGATAAGTGATGTTTGTAACACACGGATATAATTATATTGTAAGCTGTAAGTAATGTGTATGTGTGTGTATGTGTGTATGTGCATGTTTGTGTGTGCGCGCTGCTGTTTGAAGAGTATGAATGAATAAGTTGAATAGTTTCTTGGAAGATTATTTCGTAACCGATTTGTTTTTATGTGACAAATATCTTGTGCGTGTGTGCGTGCGTGAGTGTGTGTGTGAGTGTGTGTGTGTTGTGTGTGTGTCATGTAGTGTAATGTGATTGTGATGTGATATAATGTCAGGAAACCATAATGTAATTTTAGTGGGATGTTATAGCATTTAATGAAGATATAACAGGCAAACTGCAGTCAGTACTATGAGTTTTTTAATGTCATTGGTTAATGTAACATAGTGTCATGTCATGTCATTAAATATTGATAGTTCTATTACAGTTTGATACTATTTTGCGATTAACTTTAAAAACTAACATCAACAAAGAAACCACATCGACATGACAACTCAGACAACATCAACAACGCAAAATTAAGTTGAAATCACAACAATAACAGCAGCAGCAACAACACAAATGACATTAACATGAAAACAGAGCGCCGTAGAATTCATTTGAATAAATTAATTCACATTTAAATGTACCCAACTGGTACTACATTCATTCACGTTGCATGTTAAGACTGAATCCGGCTGATGTTTTTACCTTGCTAAGTTTGGGTTTCAATCTCAAATTATTGCAATTTAATAAATACAAATTAAGTTTAAGTTTTTTTTTATTAATTAATTAATTAATTAATAAGCTTTTTTTGTTTTTTGTTATAATAATTTTTTTTTGTTTTTTAATAACAGTTCCGATCAATTTTTAAGATAAATTAAAATATTGGATATATTCTTTTTAAAAAATAATTTTTGCATTCACTATTTTAATATTCAATGGTGAATCTACCCATAATTCATCCAATCACATGCCAGCTGGCTAACCAGCAATTCAATCATATCCAATCAAATTCAGCCTTGTCAACAGCTACCCAATCAAATGTTAACCACGCCAACCAACAAACCAATCAGATACTCACCTTTTAAAACAACATCCTTCACCTTTGAAGAACTGCTCGTCTGTTCGCCTTGTTCACTGACGCCATGCTGAAATTTTTCGAAAACCTCAATCTGGCCATCTTTCAATTTTCCAGCTGTGGCTACGACGTTGGCCTCTTTGTGGCTCGAGGAAGCGCTGAATTTCTCTTGCAGTTGTTCGAGTTTTTCGCTTACCCTTCCCGATAATTGTAGTTGTTGTTGTTCTTCATGTTGATGTTGTTGTTGGTTGTTGTTTGAGGTGTCTTTCTCAATGATGCCAGGAGATTTATCGTAGAAGACGTCCCCATCTTCTGATCGCTGGCTTCTCTTTTGACGCAGAAGTTGTAATTGCTCGTAAGGATCGTCAACTGTGTTGTTGTCGTTGTTGTTGTCGTCGTTGTTGTTTTCTTTGTTTAGATTTTCATGTTGTTGGTGGTCATGATGATCATCGTCATTACGTCGGTGATCCTGATGATGATCACGGTGCTGATCCTGATGATGGTCTTCCCCCGTTTCAAAGTGAACATGAACTCCAGTAAGACCAACAGTCGTGCCAATTTCTCTTTCGTTTTCATCGTCATTCTTTATATCATCTTTATCATCGTCTTTTTCGAGTTCATTATCGCCACCATTATCACAATTATTATTATCTTTATCATCGTTATCACCATCATCGCTAATGTTATCACCATTATTTCGACCTTGATTCGAGGCTTCCATATTTAAAATAACACGTGGATCATCATTATCATCATCAGTAGCGCATACCTTTGTTACTTTATAATTACCATCATCGTCGTCGTCATCATCATTATCAGTGCACCCCTTTTCAGCATGATGATAATCATCATCATCATCATCGTTAACGACATCACCAATGAATTTTTTGTGGCACTTTTCAACATTTTCATCATCGTTGTCATCATTTTTTCCATCCTCATCATCGTTGCTTCCATCATCATCATCGTCGTCATCTTTTGTATTATTGTTGTTATTGTTATTATTATTATTATTATTATTATTATTATTATTATTATTATTATTATTATTATTATTATTATTATTATTATTATTGCTCTTATAATGAAAACCAACAACATCATCATCATCACCAGCACTACGACGATGATGATAATGATGTTTATGTTCACCATCGTCGTCATCGTCATCTTTATTATGACCGTTGGTAATCTTTCTTCCTTTCTTCATAGTTTCCCCATCCTCTCCACAATCACCATCTTCATCATCATCGTTAAGAGGGCGGGACATGCCGATGATTTCTGTGGAAAAGGAAATTAATTTATAAATTTATATATTACACACACACACACATACGTACACACACAAACACATACATACACACCCACGCACGCACACACACGGGAAAAGAGAAACAAAGAGAGAAACACGATGAAATAGAGAAACTGAGAAGAACAGAGAGAAAGCCAGAGACAGGAAGAAAGACAAACAGACAGGCAAAAAGACAGACACAGAAACAGACAGACAGAGACAGATTGACAGAGAAAGAGAGAGAGAGAGAGACAGACAGAGAGAGACAGAGAGAGAGTGAGAGGAAGAGGGAAAAATATTGTTAATTTATACCTACAACCTGTGCGAGCATGTGTTATGAATTAAAAATAGCGTTATTATTAATATTAAATTAAATACATTTTTCAATGAATAAACATAAACATCGTTTTAAACAAACGTTTAATAACGTAATAATTGCCATAATTACTAAAAGAAGGATACTAACAATTAATACTAAATATTATATTTATTTAATCTTGCAATTACGAGGAAAATTTTATTTATCAATTAATTCTTTAATGTGTTTGTTATTCATTCACTATTCACTCATTCAACCATTCATTCGTTCGTCCGTCCGTCCGTTCATTCATTCATTCATTTACTCATCCATTCATTCGTTCATTCATTCATTCATTCACTCATTCATTCGTTCATTCATTCACTCACTCATTCCTTCATTCGTTTGTTCATTCATTTTTTTATTCACTCATTCATTCATTTATTCATCCTTTAAACAGCAAAAAACGGAAAGAAAAAGAATAAACAAAAAAAGTGTTTTAAATAGTGAGTGTGTGTGTGAATGTGTGTGTGTGAGTGTGTGTATGTGTGTGTGTGAGAGAGAGAGTTTGTGTATGTGTGCTTTATCCCTTATCTAGTTAAATTTTTATTATATAAACTCTATATACTAGTCTATACTAGGCCCAGCTCAATATCAAGGTGTCTTCAATCCAAGAAGTGAAGGCTTAACAATGGGATGATTGACACAGGTAGGTATCAATATATCAATAAATAGGTATGTTTTTGTTTGCGTGTGTGTAAATATGTGTGTGTGTGTGTGTGTGTGTGTGTGTGTGCATATGGATGTGTGAATATATGTGTGAGTTGGTATGTAAATGTGTGCTTATGTGTGCTGTAGTAAAACGCCATGTGAAATGAAAAGCACGTTTTCTTTACAAGAGTTTCTATGTAGTTAGTATAAAGATGTGAGGCTTTTAAAGGGATAGGCGTACTTAATAACTAAAAGAATTGAAAAACAATATATAACAACAACACATACTGATAAATAAACAATTGCTTGATAATAAGTTAAAATTAATCAATGGCTGGATGGCCTAGCAATAAAAGTAGTTTATACATAGAGCGCCAATTTTAAGCTGTTTATATATTAATTAATTAACTAACTAATTAATTAATTAATATAATAAGGTTTTCGTGGTTAATTAAGGACTTAATTGATATAATAAATAATAATTAAATAAGTTAAATCAAATTAAATGGCTTTTTAAAAAATAAATAAAGGACAAACCTGTCAAACTCGAAAAAATGTTTTTCTACGCGGGCAACAAACTTCTCAATTGCTACTTAATGCACGCTTACGTATATATTTATACATGCTTTTTAGTTTAAATGCATATGTACATATGTATGTATATATGTATATTGCATACACACACACACACACACACAAAGACACACACAAAGACACTGATGTTCATATATCATACATGCATATAAATTTAATTAATTAATATTTAGTTATTTGTACGATTAATGAATTAGCTAGATGCTGTTCGTTAATTATGATGTTCTGGCATTTTATTTAATAATATAATATACATATATTATTGTCTATGTTCTTTCAGGATTTGTCATCATCAGTATTTCATTTGTTTATTATTTAGTTCATTTTTAAACAGTCTGTGTTTGTGTGTGTGTGTGTGTGGTGTGTGTGTGTGTGTGTGTGTATGTGTGTGTGTGTGTGTGTGTGTGTGTGTGTGTGTGTGTGTGTGTGTGTGTGTGTGTGTGTGATGCATTACGTTATATTACAATAGTACATTCACATTAAAATTGAAGGGTCGTTAGAGAGAGATTGAGAGAGAAAGAGAAAGAGTCGAAATCATTTTTTTTTTAATTTTTTGATAAAAAGTGAAAGTCCATTTTAAAATTATATTGTAAGTAACTAGAAGATAATGTCGATGGATGGGTGGATGGGTGGGTGGGTGGGTGCCAGTTAAAAGCAAATATACATGCATGTTTGTATATGTCTTCTTCTTTCTCGTGCCTTATCCTTTTAGGACATTGGCGACCATCGACCACCCCAAAACCCGATCTTTAACACTTTGTAAGAGTTGAAATGTGGTGATATTCAACAAGTGACACAAGGACTTCAAGACACGTAATGTATATGCGGTGTATTTAATTATCATTTCACGAACATTTGATTTGAACTGATAATTGCATATTTTATGAATGTTGAGTATTATCCTAAGTTGCAATTGAAAGTTTGAAAATAAATTGAAGTGTTGTTTTATTGCGTTTGATGAGGATGATATTGTTGCAGTTGATTGCAAGGTTACGATTTAATAACTTTGTTTTAAGTTATAACAAATTATTCGGGTTTACTTCTACAGAGGTTTCTAAGTTTGTATTATATAAGTATGAGGTGTCGCTTTGAATTTGTTTTATTGTTACTTTTCTTAATGAAGTATTTGGGATGGTGAATGTTTTTTGGTGTAGCATATTAACTATGTGTGTGTTCTATATTTTGCGTGTACATGCTGCCGTGAATGAGTTTGACAATTCATTCTTATTATTTTCTTTTCAATTCTCTTGAGAGTTTTGTGTCTTCAAAGAATTTCATTTTGATGTTATTAATGCTGTTATTGACGAATGTTTCAAAAATTTTCTGTCTATTTTAATATAAAACTTATTTATTTTTACATAATAAAGAAAATTATTTCGCTCTCAGATCAAAACTGTCATCTGTAAGTAATCTTACACACAACCACACAGACAGAAAAAGAAATAAAAAGAGAGAGAGAAAAAGAGAGAGAGAGAGAAACAGAGACGTAACACACACATTCAGTGACGGATCTAGAAAACTTTGACGGAGGGGGCAAAAAATTTGAAACTGTTCAAATTTTCACGACGGGACCAAAATATTCACGGAGGGGCAAAATTTTTACGGGAGGCCAGAATTTTTTCGGGGGACCAAAACTTTTTAGGGGGGGCCTAGATTTGTGGTAGTGTGACTGACGACCTTTATTTAGCTTATCTTGTTCAATTTTTGGTCAATTTAACACATAAAAGGGTTCTTTTTCTGACTTATTAAAAAACTGCTCACAACGGAGGAGCCAGTCCTCTAGCCCCCCTTTAGATCCGCCACTGCACACATATATGTCTTATATATATATATATATATATATATATATATATATAGACCATAATTTTTTTTATACAATATTCTATACAATATATTCGGTAGAATTTATATAATATTGTAGAAATTATACTTATATATATATGACATATAGCGCAGCTCAACACACATCCTGGTCTGTCTCAGACTTGAGCAAATATCCTTTGTGATTCATTATTTATGTCATCATTGTAAATTTACATAAACGATTAATAACTCACTAATTTATAACTTTTATTGGTCTCATGGTTTTTTGTGGTTGCCATTATTAATTTGAAAATATTGAAAAATAGAATAAAGAAATATATAAAGTTGATTGATACACTATCCGAATTTCGTGAAATGTATAAAATGTAGATTGGGATAAACGATATTTTAAAATATCAAAAACTTGCTATCCAATCATAAAAATTTAAATATTATCAAAAGTATTAAAAAAATTTATTCACTATTTAATGATAGAGAATGGGAATGACGAAAGAAAATTTTTAAATAATGAATGATACAATATTTTTAAAAACTGTTTCAAGTATCTACTGATAACAAAATGATTGTGAAAATGCAAATGAGAATTCAAACTTTTGTTGTTGATGTTACACGAATATAAACATAGAAATAAAAGTGATCCAAATTAAATTCAACTTAAAAATAATATCATCAAACACCTAATATATTTACTCGCCATAAACCTCAAACTCACAAACAATCAAGTAGTTCGTAACATCAGTCGCAGACTGCAGTATAACGTACCTGTGTTTGTATGAATAACTGTTACAAACAGTGATCAACCAGGACGAAGAAGTTGTTTCTTTGGGATAAAGTCCGCAGAGGTCGTAGTCCCATTGGTTCACCACTGATCCCAAGCTCTTGTTCAGTCCGACTATGAATCGAGAGAAAGACCTTACTTGAAAAATGAAATTTTTGTAAATTTAAAATATTAAAAATTCGAATCCATCATTTAAAAGTACTCTACATGATCAAAACGAATGGCACGGCAACAAATGTAATTTTGTTGTTGAACAATTTTTTTAGCAAATGTTATTTAAATTAAGAAACGCAATACTTTTTAAACATGAATGTTGATTTTTTGTTGTGATTTTTTTATAAATAAAAATACTATTTGATTATTTGGAATAAAAGCAGCTAATTGAAAACAATGCAATAAACCATTTTTATTGAAATAAGCCAATATATGTTTAAATTTTAAATTAGTGATTCGAACCATAAAAAGTATATGGAACTAGCATGACGTAATGAACGGAATATGACTTCACCAGATCAACAGCAATCCACTGCGTTAAATTGGGATTATTGGCAGAGCTAATGAAACATCCAACAAGATTCACGGCATATCTGTCCCCATCAACCACTGTGCTTGAGTTTCCGGCATAATATTTGTAAGTTGGACTGGAATATGTTGGTTTTTTCTTTGCTAAGTTGGTTAACGTTTCTGTATGATGAATGTTATTTTTTTTGTAATTTTCATTTACATTTTATTTTAACTTGGTAGCTCAAAATCAAGAATGGAAATTAAGTTTGAAACTAGGCAGTTAGATTTTTAAAAAGTTTTTCGACACTAAGGAGTAAGATTTTTTGATTCCATAAAAGTTGGGCCTACTTTGCAGGACACTCTCGTTGCTCTGTGGAGTAATTTCAATAAATTAAATGATTTAAAGCAATGTTGGGATTTAGAATTATTGTAAATTTTCAAACCTTTTAACCCGTAAAAAGCCTAAAATTTGAAAAAAATTATCCCAGACAAGAACAATTCAAATTCAAACAATGTTTATTAAAAGCATAAAAAAAATTCTTATGAACCTGGAAATTGTATTCGCATTCACTACCAATTAAACTTCCAACAGAGAAATGCTTTGATTGATTTGGAAAAAGTTGACAGGCGCCTTCACTTGGGAAATAATTGTAAGATAAGCAGGGCAAGAGCTGGGTAGAACACATCAGAGCACATTCCAACGTACTGCCCCCAGCAGCTACAGATCTATTCTCGAAATCTTCGGAACAGACCGAAAACTCCTTACCCCATAATCCGAATTGCCACGGTGTCAGGTACATATTTGGAGTTTGAGAAGTTACGAGGAGATAGTTCAACACAAAAATGTATAAACTGGAAACAAAACTTTTCATCAAGTGTTTTTGCATTTCTACCATACTAGATCATTTAAAATTAACTAGAACCTAAAACAAAATGATATAAATATTTCCGATGTTTGTTTAGTTAAATAATTTGAATTCTAACTCATTGTCGAGATGTGGAGAGTTTTGAATGCAACAGGTTTGCAAAATTGTGTTAGGAGAACGATGAAACCACAGGAGCGTGTCGGTTGCGTAACGACCAAACAAACAGTTGATGCATTTACAAAAATAACGTTGTAAATAGAAAATATTCTTTTTATATGTGCTTGCAAATGTGAGTGTGTGTGCTTATAGTATATGATTGATAAGGAATTTTAATTTACATTAAAATCAGTTTGTAATATTTTGTTTTACATTTGCAAGTTTAATGGTATTAATAAGATTTAGATCAATCAGACCATTGCGATATCAGATATCAATCGATCAAATCAATCAATCAGTCAATCAATCAAATTTACAAACATATAAACAAAGGAAGTGGCGGCAGAACATATAAAAGCGAATGGGGTGATAGGAATTGAAGTTATGATGAGAATTGCTAACAGTATGTTTGATGATGAAGGTATACCTGAGGATTGGCGACACAGTGTGTTGGTGCCGTTGTATAAGGGCAAAGGAGATGTGAGAGATTGTGGGTCATATAGGGGTGTGAAATTGCTAAAGCACGGAATGAAGGCAGTGGAGAGGGTGCTTGAGAGGAAGTTGAGAAATATGGTGACAGTTAATGAAATGCAGTGTGGGTTTATGCCTGGTAGGGGAACGGTGGATGCGTTGTTCATGGTGAGAATGTTGCAGGAGAATTATAGAAAGAAGAAACGAAGATTGTACAGGTGTTTTGTGGATCTAGAAAAGGCTTTTGATCGAGTACCGAGGAAGGTCATTGAATGGGCGTTGAGGAAGAAAGGAGTGAATGAGAGACTTGTTAAAGCTGTGATGCAGCTGTATGAAGGGGCAAAGACAAAGGTGAGGGTTGAAAGGGGGATGTCGGACGCTTTTAGTGTTAAGGTAGGAGTGCATCAAGGATCAGTGTTATCACCGTTTCTGTTTGAAATTGTGATGGATGTTGTGTGTGGAAACATAATGGAGGGGTTGTTATTTGAGATTTTGTATGCAGATGATTTAGTCTTGATGGCTGAAGCATGGAAGAATTGCAGTTAAAATTTGACAGATGGAAAAGTGTTATTGAAAAGAAAGGGTTAAAAGTTAATATTGGTAAGACGAAGGTAATGGTGAGTGGGGAAGGTGGGGAGCGAGTGATAAGTAAAATAGACCCCTGTGGGGTATGTGACAGGAGAGTGAAGGCTAACTCGGTATTGTGTATAGGATGTCAGAAATGGGTGCATAAGAGATGTAGTGGTGTGAGGGGGGCACTGAAAAAGGTGGAAGGCACGTTCAAATGTAAGAAATGTGTTCATGGGGTGATTAATAGGACGGACGCAAGGACGGGGTTGAGTGGTGGTATTGAAAGAGTGGAAAGCTTTGTTTACTTAGGGGATAAGCTGAACGCGGATGGAGGATGTTTGAGCGCAGTTACGGCTAGAGTTCGTGTAGGATGGATGAAATTTAGAGAACTGGGTGGGGTATTGTGTGGAAAGAAATGGTTAGTGAAGATGAAAGGGAGGGTATATAAAGCATGTGTGAGAGCAGCGATGGTATATGGTGGTGAAACTTGGGTGTTGAGGAGAGAGGAGGAAAGTGTACTGCAGAGGGCTTAAAGAGCTATGGTGAGGATGATGTGTGGGGTTAAAGTGAAGGATAGGAGGAGTAGTACAGAGCTCATGTCAATGATGGGACTGAATGAGGACATTGTGACATTGATAAGGAGATCGAGATTGCGGTGGTATGGACATGTGTTGAGAAGGGATGAAAGGGTCGGGATTAGGCGAGCGTTGGAGTTCGAGGTTGAAGGAAGGAGTGGCAGGAAGGGGTCGTCCGCGATTGGGATGGAGAGAGCAGGTGGAGAAGGACAGGGTGAAAGCGGGGTTGCGTGATACTGAGGCGAGTGACAGATGTGGATGACGTCGAGGGGTATTTCGGTTTCATCATAGGTAGCCAAACGGCAACCCCCGATCTCGGGGAAAATGTGGTCTAAACGTGTGTTGTTGTTGTTGTTGTTGTTGTATAAACAAACACATCCACAACAGACATACCCACACATATTTTTTGATATAATTATTTCTATATTTGATTGTGCATTTATACAATCTTTTTAACGTGTGTGGTGTATGTATTGTCTAATTCTAAGATATTTTATGACAATGAATTCAATTTTAATTTGTCTTTCCGTTAAAAACGTCGCAGATAATTTCTTTAAGAAAAATTTCAACTACTGAATGCAAGAAAGTGCTTTCTAAATAATTTTAAATATAGCTAATATTAATAATTATAATTAATTTAAAAAAATTAATTTTAGCAAAAACTTCAAATAATGCAAATGTTACTTAAAAACAATGCTGTATAATAAATTGAAACACGACTATAGTTTATACTATGTATTCCAAAGAGAAAAATGTTTAGTTTTATGCGAAAAAAAACTGTTGTGCTTCTTCAATGCACATGTGCAAATTTAGGATGTTCAAAAATTTCTAAATTTACAAACGTGATTAAAATATGCCTTGGCAAACTTGATAAAGGAAATTGTTTTGAAAAAAAGCAATAGTAGGATAAAAACAACTCACATATTAATTTATATATAGTTGAAGATTTCGAATGAAAAATTAAAATTTTAAATTAAGTTAAACTTAAAACCCATTAAAAGACAAAACTCAAAACTTACTGACCATAAACTTCAAACTCACAAACAATGAAACTATAGTTAATATTACTAGGGGCCCGCTGCGCAATAGCATATCTATGCTTATATGAAAAACTCTTGCAAATCGTTATGTACCAGGAGGAACTTTTTGTTTCATTATTATATTGTCCGCAGAGGTCGTAGTCCCATTCGTTGGCATCTGATCCCACGCTCCTGTTCAGTCCAATTATGTAGTTTGATGAAAAAGCAGTTTCTAAAGAAAAGTAATTAAAATTGTAGATAAATGGTTATGAGGAAGAATTTCTGGATTTTGTTATACTGAAGTGTTTGTGTTATTGTTATTTGCTTAGCACTTTAATGTATTGTAAAGTAAATTCTGACTGTTTTCCTAAATATTAATAAATTATAGATAACAATAACCAATAGTATCAGATTATTATATTCATGACTGAGCAGTACAATGTTTAAGGGCATTAAGAAATTCATCTTTATCTTTATCATTAACAATGAAAAATATTTCTAAAATTCCAAGGGGAAATAAATGTTTATTATTAAAAATGGTAATATTTTTACAGAAAAATGTAATTTAAATATTATTGTTAGGGTAATAAATTTGTTTGATTACATTATATATTTCATATGAACTATCTTTATCTTGCCAGCCTAGTTATAAAAAGAAAATGGTAAAAAACTTGCCTTTGTCTATTTCGTCGAAGGAGCACGCATATCTTAGACAAATCTTTTCAGCTGAAAAACATTATAAGGAACAAATGAAAAATCAATGCAAGCATTTTTCTCTTTCCGTGTCATTTCAATGGATAAAGGAACAATTACTGTCTGAATGAAAAACTTGTTCAGACTCGTTTAGACATGCACAAGTGTCGACTGTAATATATTATCATTATAATATTTGGTTAAGATTGAATCAAGAAATTTATTCAACGTACTACCACCGGCTTCGAATACACGCTAAAATCGTCCCTTCTTCACAAGTGACGTGAAATCATCTGCGTCATTATACAGACAACACACCGTTAACAGTTTATATTACGTCATATTAAATCATTATTTTATTACATTATTAATATTATTATTATATTATATTGATATTCGGCAATTAACCCAAAAACGCAACGCAATAAATATTATAAAATACAACGTAAAAAGTAGTAGCAAAAGTGTCTTGCGAGTTGCAACTGCCAATATGCTAACAAACTTGTAATCATGAGAGCGAATGCAATCATTAATATCACACACATTCCTAAAAAACAGAGTTCTAGACACTAATTCGAAATTGTAACATAGCAAACACGGCGAACCAAACTTCTATTATTTCCACTCATATTATCGCCATCTTCAGAATTATACTTAATTATCCGCAACATGTATTTAAGTTTTCAAAATATTAAAAATATAAAAAGCCAGCAAAATATTTCTTTATTAACATTTGAATCACACATCGTTTTCGTTTTTGATCAAAACTTCCTCTCTTAGCTCAATCAGCGCGTTGTTGCTACTCTACTGTGTTACGTCAAACAACACACCGGTTCGAAGAATCATCACATCATTGCTAACAAAATCCTCAAAACGCACATAACTAAGATATACGCGCAAGACTAACTAACTAATAACATAATTGGTACTTTAACATCGTTTGGATGTTACGAAGAAGCTTCGTAAGATTTATTAATATTGCCACAACGAGGAGTCGGATATTTGTCATCACTGCTCACTACATTAAAACAATTGACGTTACAGATACCCGTAACTACTGCGACAGACCGAATATAATAATCAAAAGAATGTAATAGACGCAACACAACTAAACAATGATTTTTTTTATTTCATACGCCCTTAGCGTTTAAAAATTTGACAACTTATGAATAAATAGCTTATTGATATCGGAATATCGGACCAAACAATTCATGATCTGTAATGGAGTTTAGTAAAATTAGTAAAATATAATAGCGAATGTTATATATATGTATATATATATATATATTGTGTGTGTGCGCGTGTGTTTGTGGTGTGCGTGTTTGTGTGTGTGTGACCATATGTGCGTCTTATCTTGATAAAAATTAAGGATATTTTAGTCGTACAAACCCGACATAGCGATGCATCATCATTCAACAAAGATAAAATTTTCGACTCCTCACAAACAATA